AAATCATACATGCAACAAATATGCATGTGAAAAATGTTCACTATCACTCATCATTCCAAAGTCCCTTCCACATTTTCAGGTACCTTTATAGTAATACCCCACTTCTGATATGATTTTCTATATTAGTCCGTTTTTGCATTGCTATAAAGAACTACCTAAGACTGGGTAATTTATGAAGAAAGGAGATTTAATTGACTCACAGTTCCACAGGATGTACAAGAAGCATGGTTGGTGAGGCCTCAGGAAACTTCTAATCACCGCAGAAAGATGAAGGGGAAATAAATATCTTCTTCACATGGCAGAGCGGGAGGAACAGAGCAAAGGGGGAAATGCTACACACTTTTAAACAACCAGATCTTGTGAGAACTCAACTATCATGAGAACAGCAAGGGGGAAAACCTCTCCCATAATTCAGTCACCTCCTACCAGGTCCATCCCCCAACACTGGGGATTACAATTCAACATGAGATTTGAGTGAGAACACAAGAGTCAAACTGTAGCACTGAGTATATACCCAAAGTAATACAATTTGTTCTGCCATAAAGACAAATGCACAGGTATGTGCATTGCAGCACTATTCTCAATAGCAAAGACATGGAGTCAACCGAGGTGCCCATCAACAGTGGACTGAATAAAATAAATGTGGTACATATACAACATGGACTACTACTTAACTATCAACAAAAACGTGTTCATGGCCTTTGCAGAAACATGGATGAAACTGGAGGACATAATACTATAAAAATTAATGCAGGAACAGAAAACAAAATACAACATATTTTACTTATAAGTGGGAGCTAAACACTGAGTACACATGGATGCAAAGAAAAGAACGATGGACATTGGGGCCCACTTAAAGGTGGAGTGTGGAAGGAAGGTGAGGATTGGAAAACTACCTATTGGGTGTTATGCTGATTACCTGGGTGACAAAATTGTCTGTACACTGAACCTTCACAACATGCAATTTATCCATGTAACAGAGCTGCACGTGTACCTCTTGAAACTAAAGTAAGAGTTGTAAGGAAAGAAAAATAAAATTTATGGAGTTATTTATTTTTTATTATTTACAGTTTAGGTTATTTTCTATAATTTCCCCAAACAAAATGATAGGACAGTATGATCTGCTCCTTTCACTTTATGTTTAAGTCCTGTAGCATAGTCTCTAAGATAATTCCTTTTAAAAACATCTGACATGAGGTACTACCCATTTTTATCAGAGATCTTTATTAATGCTTTAATATTTAAATTGATCTTTTCTGAAGCTTAGCTAGGTATATTATTCTTTTCTTTAGTTTTTAATTTATTTGACTCTGATGCATTTCCATTTGTCTATGAGTTTCTAATTCTATTTTCCAATATTATTTTTAGTAGTTCACTACATTTTCTATTTCACTCTGTACTTGATTTGAATTTCATTCACATGATATCTTCAGTGCTCCAGTTGGCAATCATGAGGGATTTAATAGTAAAGAAATTGAGCAGTGAAGGTGGGTAGCTTATATTAATGGGAAAAACCTAGTAACAGGTTTTATAAGTGGTCAATTCACTTCTGAATATTTTTGGGCAGTGATGAGTTTTGTTTTTTTCTGTCCTATCTTATAAATTTAGGGGTTTAGAAAATAAATACTCAAATATTAGGGAATTTCTATAATTTTTTTTAGCTAGACATAAAGAGAAAGTATCCTTAAAGACTGATTGTGACTTGACTAAGAGCCCAAACTATCCCTCATGGAAGCTTCTTCACCATGAGTCTTGGAACTCTCTCTGCAGTGGCACAGTGTACCACCACGTCTCCAGAAACATCCATCTGTGGGTGCATATGACCACGTTGTAAATATTTCCACTCATTCTCATCATCCTTTTCTAAAATACCATTAATTTCCTCTTTTTCTCTCTCCCCCCACCACCTTCTTTCATTATTAGTACTATCTTCTTAAACAAATTTTAGCTGTATGCTTTTCAAGAGATTGAAGAAAAATAATAGACTGTATTTCTGGAGCAATTTAGGTTTACAGAATACGGAGAGAATTCCTTATATCCCCCTTTCCCTTGCACAGTTTCCCCTGTTATAAACATCTTGCATTAGTGTGGTACATTTTTAATAATTGATAAATGAATACTGACACATTTTTATTAACTAAATCCCATAGTTTACATTAGCTTTCACTCTGTTTTACATTCTATGGGTTTGGACAAATGTATGATGGCATATATTGACAATTACAGTATAATACAGAATGGTTTCACTGCCTTAAAAATCCCACATGCTCTACCTATTAATTCCTTCCTCCCTTCCTTCTCCCGAGATCCTGGTGGCCTCTGTTCTTTGTACTGTCTCTATGGTTGTGCCTTTTCCACAATCTCATAGAGTTGAAATTATATACTATGTGGCTTTTTCATATTGGCGTCTTTCACTTAAAATGTGCTTTGAAAGTTTCTCCATGTCTTTTTATGGCTTGACAGTTCATTTCTTTTTCTTGCTAAATGATATTTTATTGCATGAAAGTACCACAGTTTGTTTGTTCGTTCATTTATTAAATAACACCTTGGTTGCTTCCAAGTTTCGGTAATAACAAATCTTACTATGTGGACATAAGTTTTAACTCCTTTGGGCAAATACCAACAAGCATTATTGACCATATGATCCCACAGAATATGTTTGGTTTTATAAGACACTACCAAACTCTCTTCGACAGTGACTGTAACATTTTGCATCACCATCAGCAATGAGTGGGAGCTCCTGTTGTACCATATCCTCGCCAGCATTTGGTGTTGTAACTGTTTTGTATTTTGGTCATTCTAATAGGTGTGTAGTAGCATCTCATTGTTTTATTTACACCTCCTTAATGACATATGATGTTGAGCATCTTTCTAAATGCTTATTTTCCATCTGTATATCTTCTTTGTTTAAGTGTCTGTTCAGATTTCCTGCCTACTGTTTAAATGGGTTTTTTTCTTATTGTTGAATTTTAAGAGTTCTTTGATATTTTGGATATCTGTTCTTTTTTCAGATATGTGTTTGGCAAATATTTTTTCCCAATCTGTGGTTTGTCTTTTCATTTTCTTAACTTTCAGGAGATTTTTATTGCTAATTCTTCCTTTTTATGATAAATGAGTCCATCATTTTCATACCTGATTCAAAAGACATTCATTACAATCTTTCTGAATCTTGACATCTTCAGTCTAAATTAGCACATACTACTTTGAATCTGACTTAAATAATTTGCTAGTTTATTATAAAATAAAGTTTAATATAATGTATGTATCATCTAAATCAGTCTTTTATTTCCTGCTTATTCTTATTATTAGACTTTTTTCTTTAGAAGAATAGTTTTGAATTGTTTTCTGACAATTAGCCATGGTTTCTATTTTGAGCTTTTTAATGTGGTGCTTATTGAAATAAAAACTATTTTTAGTCTATCATTTTCTTAGTACAGTTTTTATGAAGTAATCTTTAATGCATGTTGCCAAGTGAAGGAAGCCTGTCTGAAAAGGCTGTGTATTGTATGTAGCCATACATATACAACAATATGACATTGTGCAAATGGCAAAACTTATAGTAAAAAGAGCCGTGGTTGCTAGGAAGTTGAAAGGGGCAGGATGAATGGAAAAGCACAGGTGATATTTTACGACAGTGAAACTATTCTGTATGATACTTTCATGGTGGATACATGACATTCTGGATTTGTATAAACCCATAGAACTGTAAAACAAAATGAGTGAACTTCAGTTAATAACATGGTCTCAGTATTGGCTCATTAGTTGTAATAAATGCACCAGTAATGCAAGATGTACCATACTAATACATAGGAGACTATGATAGAGAAGTAGAGGGAGTGAAGTTGAGGGAGTAATGGGAACTCTGAACTTTCCACTCAATTTTTCCATCAACCTAGAACAGCTTATTAGATTAAAAAAAAAAATCTTTGGACTGGGATCTATTTATTACTGTGGAAAAGAATGAAGTCTTGGACTCAGTCTATCAGTCTATCTTAATGTTTACTTTGAATAAAGAGCATACTCCTCTTTCATATGGATAGAAATGAGATCAGACAGTTATTAAGATCCTATGCGGAGAATTGAAAAGGCTGTTGTATGGATAACCGGTATGAGTTATGTCAGAAACCTAAGTTCGCGGAAGAATATACACACCTATAATACCAAAAAGGAAATTATTCAAATGTTTATTAGAATAGTAGATGCAGGTAAGTACATACTGAGTGAAGTGCAGCTAAAATCCAGTTATGTCATTATTCTCAATAAAATGTTTTAAAAGAAACTGACAAATTCTAGACACATACGGTGATTTGTAAAGAGGGACAGGTGATCTGGAATTATTTGAGATAGATTTGGTTGGTGACTGGAGTAGGGTTGTAAAGGAATCTGGCTAGTCCTGATCCTGTGTTTCACCTGAAAACCAGGATCACAAAGCTATAATATCCTAGTAATATCTATTCAGAAGCCAAAATCTATTGTCTTAAAATTTCTACTCACCTTCTTTAGTTTTATCTGTTGAAACGTTAAGTTTTAAATGTAAGAACAAGTGTGATCTAGGATATACTAATAATAGTATTATAACTTATTTTTGTTTTCCCTGTTGTATACATTTAATCAATAGCCTAGTTCTTCTCCTGATCTTAAACTAAAGCAAGCCTCTTAATCCTTTGGCCAAACAAGTTTTATTTTAATGATTATATTTTCAAATTTCACATAACAATAAAAACTCTGAGCCCAATTTGAAATTGAGGGCTCTCTGCTTCATGAGTTTGGGCCTGCTGAATAGACGGAATGCCTACGGTTGGAGAAACGAAAGTGATTCATTTCTTTTCTCCTTCCCTATCTCACTCCTCTGTTCTTGCCAGCACAGGGGTTAGAGCAGAAGAGAGGGAGAAGAGGAATGCTTTTGCTGAAAGGATAGCTGGTACTGCCCCTGGGTTTGCTGTATCTGGCAGGAGTTAAAGCTGTCTATCCTCATATGTATTTCTTGTAGAGTGTTCTCCCTGGTTATTCCAGAAACACCAGTCGCTGAGGATCTCTCATCTGCAGTTCCCTGCTGGATCTTCATTCTGACTGGTAAGTTATTGCTTCTTTTGCTGAGGTCTTCACACCTCCTCCCGTGGTTTTCATGGAAAGGAACTTATGTAACCCCATACTTGCTCCTTCATGTGACTTGCACCTGGTCGTGAAAAATTCTGGTGCATTCTTGTTCCTTAAAACTCTGAGTACCTGCAGATCCCCATGTGGGGATAGTCTCTCCTGTGCTTTTCATGAGAAAGATAGCCACGTGCCTAGTTTCTGTGTATTCTCCAGGTTAAATTCTAACACCCGCCCAGGAGATTCCCCTCACTCCTCACAGCTCTTCTTCATTGATTTGGTGTTGAAAGATAATGCTTCCCCATCCCTTCATTCTTTGAAAAACTCTGCTTTAAACCTTTATTCATAGTGACTGAGAGGTATAGAGGTCATCTCATGATTCCTGCCTTCCATAATAAATCCTTGTTCAGAACTTCACTTTCCCATTTTAATCTCTTATAGCAGAAGCAACCCAGAACATACTTTTTCTTCAAATATTGAGATTTGTAAAGAATCCCTCTGTCATCTCATTTTTATGCCAAATTCATTTACTGAAGGAGTGACATCCCCAGACTCCTCAATGTCATTTTTCCTGTTTTGAGCTTAACGTGATCTAATTGAAGAGGGCCTTTTAAATATGTGGCAAGTAATAAGACAAACCTACCAGACCAACAGTGATAATTCAACAAAAGACACATATTTGTGATATATAAATCAAATGCTAATAAGATATGCTCAACATTTAAGTATTTTACTCATGAGAGGAGTGGGTGATGGGTTTTTTAAAAATACATATATATATAAAAGAAAAAGGGTTAGCCTGAAAAGTGAAAGCTCCCTCCTATGAAATGGCAGAAGAAATTATTTAATAGATTATCAGATGCATACTTTGTAGATTTCTATATATACTTTCCTTAGATTGCTAAGCTAAGTATGAAAGCATGACCTACTTTTCCTCAACTTATGCCTCATAGTGGGTATTTGCTCTATTCTCTGTACTGCTATTTTCTCCCTGAGTCACTCTTCTACAGAAAACACTTCCAAAATTGACTCATGAAAGACAGACAGTTCTGAGTATCTTAATCATAGATTCATAGTTTGTATTCATCTGGTTCACAATTCTGTGACTTTCCAATTTTTGTTCAATTATTTATATAAAAATGAACACATTTTAACTCTTATTTAATTGGCAGTATCTAATAATATCTCCCATTTGCTACTTGCCTTGTGGACATTGAGAGAAAGGTTCAGAAAATTCAACTGGCATTTGGGAAGGCTGGCCTAGTTAATCCTATTTCTGGAAAATTATTGATTTGTACTACATTATACATTAAAAACCTCTTCTTAAAATTATGTCACTCTTTTCCTTTCTCCTCAGTTAAATCTATGGGATCTCCCTTTTATTTGTTTTTCAATTGTATCAGGTTCCAGCCCCAGCTGAGGTCCAAGGGGAGTGGGTGGATGAATGGCAGATAGCTGAAAGAACACTTGGGGGCCATAGGCAGGTGAAATGTAGTTTTATTCAGCAGCTCTCTCATCAACAGCCTACTCACATTAACTCTCTCACATTGTTCACCTTTATCTCCGCTGTCTGCTCCAGCTCTGTGGCTCCTGCTGCCCCCATGCCTGCAACAGCATGGCCGGCTCTCCCTTGCCTTCAGGGTTAGCAGCTTAACTCTTTCTCTCTCTGGGCACCAGCACGAGCCCTGCCATGGCTCCCCTCTGTCTTGCAGATGGACAGCTCTGGTTCTCTCTCTTTCTCTGGGTGCCATCACCATGTCAAGTCATGCCCGGGAGCCCATACAGTGTTAGCAGGGCAGTTATACCTTCTACAGACAATAGTGGCTCAGAGCCAAGAATGCGCTTACACAAACAGATTATATAACAAGTGGAGTATGTGCCTGCACCCTAAACTTGCTGAGTCATGCAAGCCTGGATCTCTGCCTTGGCCTAATTCTTGACCAAAGCACATCCATGTGCCTTACACTCTACCCACTAGGCCGAGGGAGACATAGGTTTTGGACACACAGGTTTGATACATAGCTTTGGGCATGCAGACCCGGTACACAGCTTTGGCACATAGGCCTCAGACACATAAACCTGACACATACACTCTGGGCATGCAGGCCCGATGGACAGGTTTGGGCATGCAGGCTTTATACATGCACATGGGCTTTGATAAACTGCTCAGCTATAGGTGCAGATTACCATAGGCATTGCCTCCTTGGTGGTTACCATTCACACTGCCCTGAATTCGGTTCATTAGCTACTTTGCCTATACCTGGTTTCAAACCACATAGTGTCCGTACTAGACTGGACTGTGACACCAGTCCAGGCAGCAGTAGTACCTTGGCTAGACCCATCTGTATACCATGCCCTATTAGGAATGGGGGGATGCACTTCTTAATGGTGAAAGCTCAGCATCTAGGGGTGCCTCAGTCTCCATGGCCTTACCTTGCATTAGGATCCTAAGGCTTCTTGTACCTCTGTTGCTAAGGGAGTTGTACTCAGCGTACTCCTCTGTTCCAAGTAGGCACCCCACTTCACTAAAGTGGATCTGTGTTGTTTCAGTCCAGGGGTTATTACCCACGAAGGCACCCATCCTGCTGTTGGGTAAGTCGTCCGCACGGTGATGACTGTAACCCATCCTGACATGTTCTTATAAGGCTGAAGGGCGGTGTATGCAGTTACTAACTGCTTCTTTATTAATGAACACCAGAACTCAGCTCTCTTCCACAGCTGGGACTAAAAGCCTACTGGTTCTTCCAAGCACTCCATGCGCTGCCATAGGCTCTAGCCAGCACTATCTGTAGTTGCATGTACATCAAGTTTAAATGAGAGCCCCTGGTTAACTACCCGCAGGGCTTGTGCCTGCTGAATAGCCTGCTTGGCTATTGGAAAAGGCTGCCTCAACCTTATCATCCTAATCCCAGGCAAAAGGGGCGTTGCCAATTTTAAATCTGCAAGAGAATCAAAGGTTAACATAACATCATCAACAAGATTATGAGATAGAGTGGGGCTATGCATATTGCCCTGTAGAAACACTGTGAAAGTCCACTGTCACCCTCCCATGAAGGCAAACTATTCCTGGTTCTCTGGACAAGAAATCCCAGTTCCATTGTTAAGCAGTCCAGCAAGTCTGTGACAGACGGTATGGCTGTGAAGCCATGCAAAACATCCCCAGCCAGAATGTCCTCAGGCATGGGAGAGACATACACGGTTCATGAGCAGAGAACCAAGCAGCCGATGCCAAGATGCAAAGATACAGGTTTCACTTTCACTGACCAGTCTTCATGACCATCAGTAACTGCAGCTCTGCCCAGAAACTTATCCGGGTTCAGAGTCCAGTAGATTGCCAAGTCCACATATGGCCTTTGGTCATCCAGTGCCCTCCAAGCCAGGCATCTTGGTCAGTCTCTTACCAAACAGAAAAGGCTTTACACTTCCGCCTAACTGCAGCAGGCAATCTGTGAACTGGAACACTCGGGAGAGACTGGGTTGCCCCGCAATGTCCTTTTCCCACATGACTTACACTAAGTCTGTACATGATGGCCGACATTACTTGCTTAACTCCTGCAACTCAGTGGGGGTATAAGCACTGTAAGAGCTGTGTTCCACCACTGTGAGGGGACCCTGTGCTCTCCCCTGGGGTCCCATTGGCTGCTCATGTTCTGCCTTTTGATGGATCACAGGGCGAGCTCGCAGCAGAGGAGCCTTCTCCCTGCCCTGCATCCTGCAGGGACTGGGCATGCACCTCCCGCAGCACAGTTACAAATGCCTGTCTGACTCTGCTGGCAAAGGTGTGTTCCTCCTTGGTGCTGTGCCTTTCCAGGTACTTCAGTGCCCTCTTCATACTCACAGGAGACCCATCCACTGCCCCCCATGTTTCCATCAGATCCCATCCTTGCAGCATGGCTGCCACTGGGTACCACAGTCCATGCTGCGGCCACAAAGCCGACCGAGGAGCCCTCAGGGGCTGAAGACCCACTCACCTCATCCTGCTGACAATGCCAATTGTCAGGTTCCAGCCCCAGCTGAGGTCCAAGGGGAATGGTGGATAGCTGAAAGAACACTCCGGGGGACCATAGGCAGGTGAAATGTAGTTTTACTCAGCAGCTCTCTCAGCAGCAGCTTACTCACATTCACTCTCTAACACTGTCCACCTTTATCTCAGCTGTCTGCTCTGGGTCTGCGGCTCCTGCCCTTCCAACAGCTGCATAGCAGGCTCTCCCTTGCCTTCAGGGTCAGCAGCTTAACTCTTTCTCTCTCTGGGCACCAGCACGAGCCATGCAATAGCTCTCCTCTGTCTATCTGCAAGACAGACAGCTCTGATTCTCTCTCTCTCTCTTTCTCTGTGTGCCAGCGCCATGTCAAGCCATGCCCAAGATCCTGTACAGTGTCAGCAGGGCCGTTATGCCTTCTACAGACAATAGTGGCTCAGAGCCAAGTATAAGCTTATACAAACAGGTTATATAACAAATGGAGTATATGCCTGCACCCTAAACTCGCTGAGTAATGCAGGTCTGGATGTCTGCCTTGGCCTAATTCTTGACCAAAGCACATCCATGTACCTCACAAATTGTTTGTCTTCTAGCAACTGATAACCTAGAAAAACTTAGGCAAGCACCAAACAACAGAATAGTAACTCAATAAAGGAGGTGTGGCATGCAGCCACAAACATAGAACCAGAAGGCCAGGCTGAGTGGATGTGAATTCCTTTTTGTCATTTGTTAGCTACTTTATATTGGGTAGGTTTCTTAAACTCTGCGACTTAGTTTTTTAATCCATAAAAATAGTAATAGGGCTGGTTGTGGTGGCTCATGCCTGTAATCCCAGCACTTTGGGAAGCTGAGGTGGGCAGATCGCAAGGTCAGGAGTTTGAGACCAGCCTGGTTAACATGGTGAAACCTCGTCTCTACTAAAAATGCAAAAAAATAGCCTGGTGTGCTGGTGGGCACCTGGTACTCAAGAGGCTGAGGCAGGAGAATCGCTTGAACCCA